CTGGCCATGTGTGCGGGGTGTGGCCATGAATCCTGTGGAGCATCCCTTTGGAGGTGGTAACCACCAGCACATCGGCAAACCCTCAATTATTCGCAGAGGTGCCCCGGCAGGTCAAAAGTGGGTCTCATTGCTGCTCGCCGGACTGGGCGACTCCATGGAACCAAGATTGTGCCGGAGAAAGAGAACTAGAACCAAGTGGCTCAATAAAGTTTGTCCTTGGAAAAAAAAAAGCAAGCAAGCAAGCAGAATTGCAGCAAAGTTCAAGTCCAAAGTCTCCTCTAGGATTTAAGGTAAACTCTTCCCTGAGAGCCTCTGTACAAATAAAGAGAAGTCTCATAGTTCCTTGTCCAGCACCTGGAGCAATCTGTGGCAAGATGTGAACGCCAAAGGACTTGGGTGGTTCCGCCCCAAGGCACTGCCAATGGTTGTAGCTCCCATGACTGCTCTCTTGGGCCAGCTCTGCTCCCTCCTTGCTGCTTTTTTGGATAATCCATGCTCCTGGCTTCTCCTGTCTCTGGCGTCTCCACTGTACCTTCAGCTTCACACTCACAGCTTCACACACTGCCCTTGCAGGGCCGCACTGCTTGGTTTCCCAGGCCTTCTTCTGAAACCTGGGTGGAAGGCTTCCTGGCCCCACAACACCTGCATTCTGCATGGACCTAAAACCAGCGCCACATGGTCTGCTGACAGCTGGAGCAGTAGCCAGGCTTCCTTCTCTCGTGGTTATAGGGGTGGAGCGCCTGGCTTGCTGACCACTGTGAACCCAATCCGGAGGAAATAATTCTCTAGGCTGCCGCTATTCTGGACTGTGGTGCTCTGGGGCTCTCTCCTCAAAGCAGTTTTTCTTTCACCTTTGCGATTTTGAGCCTGCAAAATGAGTCCTGCTGGTTTGTTTGTATTTTTTGGTACCGGGGATCGAACTCGGGTCCTTACCCTTGCAAGGCAGGCATCGAAACCACTGAGCTCAATCCCCGGCCCGTCCTGCTGGTTTTTGTGATGTCCTCAGGCCAGCTTTTCTATTGTTTTCTTCTGAAATACTTAGTATTTTATGGCTAATCTCTTCAGCAGTCAAATTCTCTGTTCCATTTTTGCAGGCCAAAACTTTACAGGAGCTTCTTTTCTGGCCAAACTCAAAATGTTTAAAATCATTCTGCCATGCCCTTTGTTGTTACTTCTCAACACAGATCTGGCTAAAAGCCCCCAACAGTAGCCATGCCGCCACCTCAACAGTTCAACATTAGCCTGTCTTGAAATTTCTTCCACAAGATTAATTAGTCCATTGCCTTTAAGCTCAGTCTCAGGCAGTTTCTGGATATGAGCAAAATGCAAACAAATTTTCTGCCAAATTTTCTTCCATACATGGTCTGGAGTCCAACACCCAGTGCAGTCCTTGTTCCTAATTGAAATCTCTTGAGCCTGGTCTTTACCGGCTGCATTTCTGTCAGCATTCTTTCGTTTGTTTGTTTTTTGGTACCAGGGATCAAACTCAGGACCCTGCGCTTGAGGGGCAGGCACGGTGCCACTGAACTAAATCCTGAGCCCTCTGTCAGCATTATTTTCTTCTGAACTCTGACCAGAATCTCCTGTCAAGCACAGCTTAAAGCATTTCAGGGCTGCTTCTCCAACTAGCATCTCCAAACCTTTCCGAACTCTTTCCACGAGCTCCTTAGCCACATGGTCAGGTGACATCACAGCAGCGACCCTGCTCTCAGTGCCAAAATCTGTATCAGTCAGTGCTTACTAGATAAATACATTTAATGGAACATATACAAATATGTAAGAATTTATAAGATTGGTTTGCAATGGGTGCGCACATAGTCAGGTGTGGAAGAGTGAAAAGGTCTATCTAGGCCCCGGAGAGCTGAAGGATCTAACTGAAGGCCTGGAGCTCGCTGTGGTGTCCCCTTCGAGTCCGTATCAGCAGGCCCACAGGTCCGTGCTGGAAGCCAGGGGATGGCATCCAAGGTGAAGGTGAAGACTGGAGCTTCTCCACAAAAAACAAAAGCAAGTCTTCCTTCCTTTCTGTTTTATTCCATTCAGGTGACAAGCCTGTTGGTTGCTATCACTCACACCTAGTAAATCCCAGCAAATCTTCACTAAACCTCCTCAGCCACACCCAGAACTATGTTGATCCAATATAGTTAGGTGTTTCTTGCTCAAATTGACACAATCAGTTAACTGTCACAGATGAGACGCACACATTTCGATTTTCATATCCGTATGTTTTAGATTTACATAATGATAACATTCATCCTAGGGAATTTGTATCTGTACTGATATATCTTGCTTCTTCTATTTTTCCCATTCCTCTCCTCCTTTCAATCCCTCTTCCTTTCATTGACAAAAGCTTTGTTTCCATTTTTCCCTTCTATTCTTTTTTCTTGTTCCTTCTCCCCACCCTGTTCCCCTTCTCATTTGAACATTTTCTTCCCATTTCCCAACATCTATTATACATTTTGGTCCTTTACACTTTTGGTTTCTCACACAAGAGAAACAATGTGGCATTTACAGGTGTGTCCTATTTATTTCACTTAAGAGTACGGTTTCAAGGCACATACATTTAGCTAGAAATGTCTCAAGCTTATCCTTCTTTTTTTTTTTTTTTTTTGTACCGGGGATTGAACTCAGGAAGGCTTATCCTTCTTTTTTTTTTCCCCCATTAAGTTTATTGATACATTTTAGATATAAAATACAGTTGCATTCATCATTGGGATCTTGTACCTGTACATGATGCATCTTGGTTCTTATTTTTTTCCCCATTTCCCTGCCCTCCCTACACCCCCTCCACCCTTCCCTATTTACAGAGACTTTGTTTCCATTTTTTCCTTTTCTCATATTTTTTCTTTTCCCTTTTTTCCTTTCCCCTACCCTTCCCACTTCCTCTACTCCTTTAGACCTTTTCTTCCTATTTCACATTATCAGTTATACCATTTGAACCTTACACTTTTAGTTTTTCACACCAGAGAAACTATTGAGTATTTACACATGTAGGCTTATCCTTCTTTACAGCAGAGTGGTACTCCATTGTATAAAAAAACCCATCTTCATCCATTCATTGGTTAATGGGCATTTAGGCTGTTTCCAAGATTTAGCTATTATAAACTATGCCACTATAAATATGGGTGTACATATATCATTGTGTTATGATGCTTTTTTTTTTTGTACCAAGGATCAAACTCGGGACCTTTTGCTTGCAAGGCAAGTGGTGAAACCACTGAGCTAAATCCCTGGCCCTGTGCTGCTTTTAATTCTTTTGGGGAGATACCAAGAAGGGGAATAGCTGGGTCAAATGGAATCTCTAGTTTTGGTTCTCTGAGAAATCTCCACATTGATTTCCACAGTGGTTGCACCAGTCTACACTCCCACCAACAGTGGAGAAGGGTTCCTTTTTCCCCACAGCCCCACCAGGATTTGTTATTGGCTGATTTTTTGACAGCAGCTGTTCTTTCTGGAGTGAGATGGAATCTCAGTGTTGTTTTAATTTGCATCTTTCGGAATGACCAGTGATGGTTAACATTTTTTCATGTATTTATCTGCCTTTTCTACCTCATCATCTGAGAAGTGTCTATTCATTCCAGATGATCATTTTTGGATTGGGTCTTTAAACTTGGGGGGGGGTGTCTGATTTTTTTTTAGTTCTTTATATATTCTAGATATCAGTCCTTTGAGGAACAGCTGGCAAAAAATTTAAAATTTTTCCCACACCGTGGATCATCTCTTCACTCTGTTGGTGGTTTCCTTTGCTGTGCAAAAGCTTTTTTTTGGTACTGGGGATTGAACTCTAGACCTTGTGCTTGCAAGGCAGGTGGTGGAACCACTGAGCTAAATCCCCAGCCCCAAAAGCTTTTTAATAAGATGATATCCCGGTTGTTAATTTTTTGTGATATTTCCTATGTGATCAGGGTTTGGTTCATTAAGGCTTTGTACAGCAATGTCTTCAAGAGTTCTACCTCTTCTATCTTCCAGCAGATTTACTGTTTCTTTCTCTCTCTTTTTTTTTTTTTTTGGTACCAGGGATCCAACTCAGGACCTTGTGCTTGCAAGGCAGGTGCCAGAACCACTGAGCTAAATCCCTGGCCTTTAGTGTTTCTGTTTTGATATTTAGACCTTTGATCCATTTCGATTTTAGTTTAGTGCATTGTGAGAGATATAGGTCTAGTTTTAATCAAGTGCTGGGATCACAGGTGCACACCACCACATCAGTCTAGTACTAGGGACTGAATCCAGGACCTTTGTACTGAGCTACATCTCCTGGCTCGCTTTCTCTCTCTTTCTCTCTCTCTCTCTGTCTCTCCCTCTCTCTCTCTCTCCCTCTCTCTCTCTCTCTCTCTGTCTTAGTTGAGACAGGGACTTGCTAAATTGCCAGATTATCCAGGCTAGGCGTGCTATCACACCTAGCGGCCTAACCTTTTCTTCTTCGGTGTGGGGATTGAACCCAGGGCCTTGCATGTGCATAACCTCTTTTACTTGATTTTTCTTTTTTTGGTACCGGGGATCGAACTCGGGTGCTTGCGCTTGCGAGGCAGGCGGCGGAACCACTGAGCTAAATCCCTGGCCAACACCTTCTCTTGATACCTCAAAACATCAGATGATTTATTTGCTCTCAAAATCTTTTTTTTAACTTTAAAATTTTATTATTATTACTATTATTTGTCTTGTAGCCTTATACTCACTGCACTGATGGACCGAATTTAAGGAAATATATATATATTTTTTGGTACCGGGGATCAAACTCGGGTCCTTCTGCTTGTGAGGCAGGTGGCAGAACCACTGAGCTAAGTCCCCGGCCCCCCGAATTTAAGGAAATATTATATTCCCACCTTCTCTTGACCCTACATTTAGGGTAGTCTCCACGAGCTCCGCGCTATCTTGGAGGTGGGATAGTGGCGCCACGGTCCCTGCAAACGCACCAGGCCATTCGTGACTCACGCAGGCTGAACCCGGCAGGATCAGAGCGAGGCAGACACCGCCCGGAGAACTATAACTCCCAGAAGGCCTCAAAGAACTACAACTCCCAGAAAGCCGCGCGCAGGACTTCCGGGCGCCTTTTCCGGCCGGGCCGCGCGGGCGCAGGAGCAGCCGGGAGGTACCAGCTGGCTGAAGGTGGAGGGCAGAGGGCGAGGAGGGTGGGAGCAACGGACCCTGGGTCTCAGAGGTAGAGTGGGTAGCAGTGTAGAGAGGACCCCGAGCTTCGCTTTCTCTCCCCGCAGTGACCATGACGAAACTGGCGCAGTGGCTCTGGGGCCTGGCGCTCCTGGGCTCCGCCTGGGCGGCCCTGAACGTGGGAGCTCTGGGCTTGGAGTTACCCGCGCCCTGCCGGGACGTCCTGTGGCCACTGCCCGCCTACCTGCTGGTGGCCGCTGGCTGCTATGCTTTGGGCACTGTGGGCTATCGCGTGGCCACGTTTCACGACTGCGAGGACGCCGCCCGCGAGCTGCAGAATCAGATCCAGGAGGCCCGAGCGGATTTATCCCGCAGGGGCCTGCGCTTCTGACACCCTGGCCCCTCCCGTCCCCATTAAAAAGCAAGTTTGTTTTCTAACCTTGCCTAGTTTGCGTGGGTAGAGGGCAGAGCAGGGGTTGGGGATTCTGTATACCAGCGGTCGTGAAGTGATAGTTGGAAAAGCCACTGTCTTGAGGCCATCTCAGCTTTTATCTTTGCATCTTGCAAAATGTTCCCCGTTTTTGTCCCAAAGGGGCAAAGACACTATCAAAAATCTCGAAATGGAAGTGTCTTTTCACTTTACTGGTTCCTTGAATCCCATCAGGAAGTTCTTTTTCTCGGTACTAGGAAATCAAATTCAAGGAAGTAATTTTTTTTTTTTTTGGTATTGAGGATCGAACTTGGGACCTTGCGCTTTCGAGGCAGGCACCGGAACCAATGAGCTAAATTCCCGGCACACAAGAAAGTAATTCTTTTATTTTGTTTGGGATCGAACTCGGGATCTTGTGCTTGCAAGGCAGGCGGTGGCACCACTGAGCTAAATCCTCGGCCCAAGAAAGTAATTCTTAAACCTGACTTCCATTCTTTATAGCTTCCAAATTGTTTTTTTTGTTGTTTTTTTAAAATTTTGATACTAGGGGCTGGGGATTTAGCTCAGTAGCAGCCCACCTGCCTTGCAAGTGCAAGGTCCTGAGTTCGATCCTGGGTACTGAAAACAACAACAAACCCTAAAAACAAAAAAAAGGCAACAAACATTGAAAATTTAGGGCCAGGGATTTAGCTCAGTGATGCCGAGCCTGCCTCCTAAGTGCAAGGTCCTGAGTTCCATCCCCTGTACCAAAAAGAAAAAATGTAATGGAGATAATTTTGGTACTAGGGATTGAACCCAGGGCCTTCACACAGACCTATGTCCACCGCCCTTTATTTTGAGACAGAGTTTTGCTCTAATTTACTCAATTACCCATGCTGGGTTTGAACTCACTACTCTCCTACCTCAGACTCCCAGAATGCTGGGATCATAGGTATGCACCAACATATCTACCTCAGAGTTCTGTTCTTTTTAAGGCCTTCCCAGGCCTTTCCAATCTCTTCGTTCTTTCAGATACCTTTTCCAAGCCAACTCTGCCTGAGAATAGATGGATCTACCCTTCACCAAACCAGGCAGGTTGAGAATCGTGAGTAAAAAATAAACTGTGATTGGCAGGGCTGGGAAATAGTTTATTTTAAGGCACAGCATAAAGATATCACCCCCAACCTCCAAAATTAAAAAAGATAATCTCTCAAGAAAATAAGTGATTTCATCTCATAGGTCCCACCCAGTCTTCTGAGTGAAGCTCTTTCATTGAACCCTCTAATCTCAAAGTTGTCTCTTTCCCACAACCTACTGCACCATGAAACTGGTCACCAGCCAGCTGAAGCAAGGAGCTCTTTGGTATCAAGTTGGCATTAAGGTGCCCAGTGGTCAAATGAGCTGCCTCAGGTGTGCAGAAGCCGATAGTTCTTGTCTTGCTCTGGGGGGTACTTCCAGAAAAGCCAGAGGCGGATAAAGCTGGTAAGGATTCCTGGAAGGTTGGGCACCTGCAATAAAAGGGCTGCTATAGATCAGGTGTGGTAGCTCGTGCCTATAATCCCAGGGGCTCAGGCAGGAGGATCTCTTCGAGTTCAAGGCCAGCCTGAGTTACATTGTGAGACCTTGTCTGGAAAAAAAATGGCTACTATGACAGGAGCCAATTTTTCACTTTGCAAATTTATCACCCATCTATATTATGCTTACCGTGATGTAGGGGTCGCTGAGTCGAAACCCATAGAGGGACCAGGAAGCAGAGGAAAGGAGGGTGGCAATGGTGAGAGAGAAGGAGAGACGATGGGTTGATTTAGTTTGAATGACCTTGGCCTGTGGGAAAGGATGAAAGACACTGGACCAGGCATGAAGGAAAGTTGCCAGGTTGCCTAAGAATTTCCTTAGGAAAAAGGTCAGACACCTTCCCTGGCCTGTTATCCAACCCTTCTGCTTCCCACTCAACTGGTCTCTAACCAGGCCACCTCCCTTTCCTTTGAAATGTAAGCCACATTCTCTGGCCCGACCTCCTAGACACCCCACTCACCAAGTCAGCCAGTGGTGAGAGATACATGCTGATGGTGAAGACACTGCAGAAGAGGCCCAGCTGCTGCAGCCGGGCCTCATCATTGGGCATCAGGACCCCAAAGTAGCCATAGCCCAAGAAAAGGACCCCCAGCAGGGTTGCGGTCTGTAGGAGCACCATGCGCTGCAGGGGAGAGAGGCCTCTTACTTCCAGGCTGCCCACAGCACTGTCTGACCTCCCTGCTGCAATTAATTCATGCTGGCCTCTCCCATGCTCGACACTGGGGAAACCAGCCTTCCCCAGCTGGGGAAGCAGCTTCCAGTATCACTCTTGTCACAGTCTTTCCCACCGGGGACTTAATGGAATAGTCTGTCACACAACACTGAAGGCCTCTAGGAGGGAAAGGTACCTTTTTTTCCAGTGAGCTTGGCATACACAGTACAATTTTAATAAATAAGTGCTTGTGGAAAGAGCTGGGAAGCAGAGCTAATCATCTCATTTTCAGCCAGTGGCCCTGAAGGAACTCGAGACAAAAGCCCTTTCTCTTCAGCCTGCTGGGGGAAGCTCAGGGCAGCACAGGCATCACTAGGCCAGTAGTGCTACCGACCTTGAGAGAGTGGGGAGCAATGTGTGAGTCTCAGAAGGCTGGCTCCAGGGAGGACCGGAAATGGCAAGGCTGGAGGGCCTTCTAGGAAAAGGTGACAGTGCCAGCCTGTTTAAGTGTTCTAGGAAGCAATGTTTCCCTGCCAGCGAGGCAGGGCGTGCAGCACAGGTGGGTCCAAGGGAGGGCCTCTACCTTTTGTGGGCAGTAGCGCAGATAGGCGGCGATATACAGGGTCTGAAGCACAGCACCTACGGTGTTGACGATGATGAGGGTCCCATCGCCCTTCAGGACCCCATAACTCAGCCAGCCCAGGTTGCTGCAGGGGCAGAACAGGGATGCAGGGCTGATTGTGGCACGGGGTCCCCAAGGGCCCCTCCCGCCTCCCCAGACAGCCTTTCCCGCCGGAGCCCGCGTCCCTCTCACTTGACATCCGTGGTGAGAAAGGGTAGGAACTGAACGCTGTCCACGCTCCGGGTCATCTGCATGTGTCTGAGGTCCGAGCTGTAATGGGGCCCCGAAGGGAGGGGTGACGGGTGTGGGGGACCCGAAGCTTGTCATCCGCCCCGCAAGACCGCAGACCCACCCCCAGGACCCCTGCTTTCTCCCTCAGGCGTATCGACCAGCCTTGCCCTTGCATCCCAATCCCCTCGACCCGATTCCTCTTTGACCGCGGGTTCCGGATGCAGCCTGGGGGTATGGCCACCGCTCTGTCCACTGGCTCTCCTTTCCTGACTTCCTGGTCCTCCCCAACCCACCCGGCCCGCGCTCTCACAGGCCAGTGGAGAACATGCCAAGGGTGAAGAACACGCAAGCTCCGGAGAGGAGCGAGTCAGCCACGCTGCCCGTCTCCATCCGGCCCGAGTCGGATCCCGGGCACCGGACTCAGCGCCTAAACCTGCGCCCGGCCCTCCCCCGGAAACCCGCCCTCTCCTAGGACACGCCGGAACTCAGGCTCCGCCCTCCGGGCGCCGCAGCCCCGGTGGCCGTACACCCCGAGCTATTCCTGCAGGTTTCCTGCAGACCTCGTCCGGGGGGGCTTGGTGTTCGTGCCCCCACACCCGACCCCTCGCTCCGAGTACCCCTTGGATCATTTAGACCCCCAGCCTTAACTGTGTCCCAAGAGGCCCACGTGGTGGGGCTAGGCTTCCCGGACTTCATGCCTCCTGTCCAGAGCTCCAAATCCGACCTTAGTGGTCTCGGGTTTGGGAAGCCTCTTCCCAGCCTCCCCTAAATAACTGGTCTTGCCAGGAATTACGGTCTTCCTTCGCCAGAGGCCCTCCTTCTTCAGCCACAAGCCAACTTTACACGATCTGGCCAGTCCACTTAAGTCCCTGCCACTGACCCCACGGCCCAACCTGTTCATTGCTGGGAATTCTCTCTCCCTGCCTCCACACCTCTGCTGGCGGGGCTGTGGGGTGGGGTGCGCGCCTCAGCTGGCATCTGGCTTGAGTCACCCAGCCAGCCAGGGTGAGTACCCGACTGGTATGCCAAGGCCCTGTGCTGAGGGGGTGGGAGTGGGGCAGAGGTTGGACAGGAAGAACCTCCATAGTCGGGTGCAGAGAGACTGCTGTGGGGAACACTCCTGCCCTGTGCAACCCTCAGAGAGGAACCACCCCACCCTTCGGGCCTGTGAGGGGCCTATACTTTTTGGAATAAGAAATTCACCCCCATTTGCTTCTGATGAAGCAGAGCCTGGCACACAGCAGGGACTCTATGCTCATTTAAAAACATGTCCAAAAAAACAAACACACTGCTTTATTTTGAGACAAAGAACATAGTATAAAAAACAACAACAAAAACTCCAGTTGTAGAAGTCAGGAGACACACAGTAAGTTCCGATACAGACACTAGGGCCCTGCCCTTTAGGCTACGCTCTAGGCAGACTACACAGGGCACTGCCCTTATAGCTCCACTCTAACAGCAGGTTGGCACAGCCCCCCTGTGGGCACAGCCCTCTGCAGTGCTGCCCTAGGGTGAGGAGAGAGGATGCAGTGCCTGGTCACTCCTCAGATGGAAGCCTTGCTGGGAGACGCTGGGTCAGCCCAAGCGTGCTGCCTCTCCTGTACCTGGCTCCTGTGCAGCAAACTGTCCCTTCTTTCCTTCAGTCGGTTCATCTGGGCATGCTGGCTTTCTCTAGGAGGGGCATCTTGTCCCACCTGGTGCCAGGCTCAGTGTCCATTTGCGTGGCCTCAAGCCCTTTCCAGCTCGGCTCCCACTGCGCTCTCACGGGGCCATGTCTGCATAGCTTGTTTCTTTGGTTTAAAGGCAGGAACGGTGGGGGAAAGACTGCCCCCTCTTCTTACTCCATTCCCAAAAGGCAGGGGATGGCATTGACAGAGTGGCAGGCCCCCTTTTGGTGGAAACCCTTAATACTGACCCATTTTGAGGCTGATGGGTGGCAGCTTGGGCATGTGGAGGGAGTGGTTCCCAGGGCTGGAGCTTTGGGACCCGCCCCAGGACAGGTGACAGGTGCCTGGCCCTGGCCCTTCAACCCTGTTCCATTTCTTAAAGTGGTGTACACCTTCACTGAGTTTGCAGCAGCATCAGGGGCAGGAGCAGCACAGCCCAAGCAAGTGGGAAGAGGCGGGGGGCAGCACTGTGACCAATGCTGTGTAGAACCTGCACCTCCGGGTCATCTGCAAGGTGAGAGAACAAAGGCCCCCAGGGTAAGTGGCCCTGCTGTTTGCACTGGCCTTCAGCCCAGCAGGGTTCCCAAGCCTCTGCCTGGCAAAGGAACCACTTCCTGTACTCAGCCTCCTCATGAAGACCCCTGTGTCCCAGACCCAACAGGTTCTGGCCACCTACCTGACTGAAGTCTCTTATCTTGTGGGTTGGCGTGAGCCTGTGGACTGTGAGCTGAAAGACAGAGTGGAATGGATGAGGGATTTTACCAGGGAGACACAGGTTGTGGGTGCTGGGTGGGCTGGGCAGTGGGACTTCCCTACCCTCCCGGATCACCAGTCGGCCTGGCACAGTGACAGAGGGGAGGCTCCCAGGGCCCAACACTCACTGATCTTGCCATCGACAGTCACCTTCAACTTCAAGCAGTAGTTTTCTTGATGGGAGATGGGTTTGGCTGCAAGATAAACCCACAGGGAATTAAGCAAAGAACCTTTGCTGGAAAGAGCTATAAGCCCAAATGTGTCTGGCCCTGGTTTCTCAGCTCCATAGTCACTTCAATTCCTCTCTTCCCTCTAATCCTGATTCTTACCCAATTCCTGCCAACTCCTATTCTTTGGAACACTGCCTGAGGTTTGGCAGTGGTGGTGAGAAGAAGACAGACCCATTCTATCCTTCATACCTCCAAGCACGAAGTTTGGTGAGGCGTTCACACTGTGTTTCCCTTTCCCTGGGCCATCTCGTACCTCCTCTATCTAGGGCAGAATGAGTCCTGGATCTGTTCTGCATAACAGGGACCTTGTAACTCTTAAAAGCCAACAGGAGCTTTCCACTGGCCTCAGGAGAAAGCCTGAACTCCTCCGCAGTGTTTAGGCCCTCGATCGGTCCTGCCTACGTTCCAAGCTCGCCTCTCCCCACTTCCTGTGTGTGCCCCACTCCCAGAGTTCCCTCAAGAGACCTGCTCCCTTTGCACCAGCGCCCTCACACCTGGCCAGCTCTTCCTCTTGTCCGAAGCTCTGGGGCCTTTTTGTTCTTGGCTTCTGTGCCCTATAAACCGCCAAGTGCATTGGCCATTCTTCCCAAGGCCCCTGTGCTGGTGTCTGCCATATCACCGTTCTGGGTCTGCTGACATAGCTTCCTTGAGGGTCAGGGGCTCTGAAGTGCTGTACCTAACTCTGCTGCACAGAATGACCATACACAGTAGAAGCTCACTTCATGTTTGTGATGTGAATGAATGAATGAAAACAGAATTCAGGCTTAGGAGGGCGCTGTGCTACTTAACTCCCCACTGAGCAGGTTGGGCACAGGCACCTGGCCATCATGTTGTTGTGCCCTAGTGTGTGCCCCTGTGCCTGCCTCCCCTGCACTCACAGATGTAGTAGTAGCTGTGTCCTTCCTTGAATTCCTTGCCCAGGGTGAAAGGTGTGAAACGCTGGAACTTCTCAGACAGCTTCTCGGGCCCATGCTTGGCGCTGGGCTGGTTGCACCGCCAGCGGACCTGGTCTTTGGACTGGGGCTGGCACACGGCATACTCCTCATACTCCACCAGGTACAGTGTATAACGCTCCATGGCAGCATCCGCCACAGAGTCATCCTCATAATGGGGACAGATAATGTCCAGGTAGTCATTCAGCCGAACGTGCACTGTGTAGTCCTCATCCCGGAACCTTGGTGTGCCCAGAAAGGGAGGAAGCAGGCCGTCATTTAGAAGCCAGGCCAGACTGTCTACATGAGCCTTCTCCTCTCACACTGGAGCCTCCAAAGATTTCCCCAAAATCTCAACTCCCAATATTTACTAACCTTCATCTCTCTGGGATTGAACCCAGGGGTGCTCCATCACTGAGTTACAGGAAGGGTCTCAATAAGTTGCCCAGGCAGGCCCTGGACTTGCGATTCTCCTGCCTTGGCAAAGAAGTGCTGGGGTGACAAGCATGTGCCACCATGCCTGGCTGATCTGATCTCACATCTCTCTTCGTCTCCAAACATCTCCCCCACCATTATCTTTTCCTCGTTCAAAAGGCACCCACTCAATATCTCAGACACCAATGCATTGGCTATAACCCCCAAAGATAAGCTTCTAAATGTTTCCAGAGCTCACTCTTCATTCTCTTCTATAACTTTCCCCAAATATATTCTACCAGCTGCTCCTGTAAATGCTAGGAGACTTCAGTCTGAATCCGTTCTTGGCCGTTCCCTTTCTGTTTTTTGAGATGATGTCTCACTGTGTGGCCCAGGACGGCCTTGAACTCGCTGCAGTCCTCCCGCCCCAGGCTGCCCAGCACTGGGATCACAGGTGTGCGCACCACGCCCCACTCAGACATTCCCACTGTCCAGGGCCAAGACCTCCCCTTGCCATGCTCCCACCGGGCCCACCCCCGGTCTTCACGTCTCAGACTTCTTCCCTTGGCCCACTGAGTCTCACACTTGCCAGCTTCACCTTTCCCTCCAAACTTCTCTCTAGGCCAAACCCAGGCCCACAAATAATGCTCTCAGCAGCTCACTCCAACCTGCCTTTCTTGCTACTCACATTTATGCCCCGTCTCTCTGGCCTCTTCTCCAGCACCTCCAAATCTCCCCTTTTATTGCCAGAACCACACCCCACCGACCCCCTGATGCGATGGCGGACTTCTCCCTGCCCCTCCTCCCCAGGTGGAGCCAGGTCCCCTCCCGCAGCCCCTCCCCCGACACTCAGGCTCCAGCCCCACCACCCGCCCCTCCCCCAGCTCCAGACACCTGGCTCCAGCCTGCAGGGGGGCGGTGTTCTAGGGGGAAAGCGCCCCCCCGCAGCTGGTCAGCCTCTCTGAATTCCCCAAAGGACTGCAGGGACTCGGAGAGCCGGCTGCCAGTTTGCTTCAAACCCAAGCCCTGGGCATGGGTGGGGGGCAGGGGGAAGAGTTGGGCCTAGAGATGTCGGAGCTGGGCACCCACTCCCCAGTCGGCTGCTCCCTGACTGTCAGGCCGGGCCTCGCAGCAGCTTGCTGCTCCGATCCAGCCAGGCTTACCAGGGCCCCTCCCCCACCCAGGGGAAAGAGGAGCAGAGGGAGGCTTTTAAAATTCCTCTCTGGAGAGATAAACATAGAAGCCATTTCGAAACAGGTATTTCAGCTCTGAGCCTGGCGTCTTTCCCCCATTCCCGTGACGGGCACTGACTCATTTCTCAGCCACCTCTGCTCCCCGCCCCAGCTAGCACTGCTGAGAACCTGTGAGAATTTGCCTCCTCCAGTGTGGGCAGCCCCCAGGAACCCCGGACAGCCGGCTCTGGGCACTGGCTTCCAGGCAAAGGATGCCGGCAGGCATAGGGCACTTGCCCCTCTAGCACCAAG